TTCACTTTGTTGGTTCCTTCACAAGTGACTTTCAGTTTGTCCCACATTTCTTTGGATGTTTCACAACTTGAGATGTTGTCATACTCCTCTCCACTTATAGCATTATAGTGTAAATTTCGTGCCTTATCATTGACCTAAACAACTGCCATTTTCTCATTTGTGTATTCATCTATATCTTCAGGATCAACGGGTGGTTGAGTTGCTGCTGGTAGTGGATAGTTACCCTTTTTGATAACACGCCATACTTTGACATTATAGGATTTTGCATATATTTACATTCACACTTTCCGGTGAGAAAAGTGTTGCTCATTGAAATATAGTGGTCTGACTTGCGACGTTCCTTCTTGAAAGAGTGCTCCAACAGTTACTTGATTTGTCATGATCTTATCTCACAAGCTGTTAAGCAAAAAGTCTGAGACGAACTCTGATACCAATTGAAAGTGCAAGAGGGGGGTGAATTTAAATTTATTCTTTCTTTTATGAGGTAGTAGACTAACTTGCATTCTAGTTGACTGATATTTTCAAAACTAAGTACAAGAAAGGAAATTGCAGAAAGTAAATGACATATAGTGTTTTTATGCTGGTTCGGATTCAAAGTGAATAGTACGTCCAGTCCCCTTGGGTTGCAAGGATGATCTCTTTCAAATATGAAGTGACCTAGTACATATGGGTTGATGTTCTTATACACCAACAACCTTTTGATCACTTTGTTTTTCTCTCTTATGGTTGATACAAAGCCTCACCAGTGTTCTTTTCTCTCTCTCTCTTCTGTTCTTAGTTACACAAGAAATCTATGACAGACAACAATGCTTGTTTGAAGTAGAACAAAGAGATTGATTTTGGTTTGATCAATGTTTATGAATCCTTGGCGTCTTCTGTAGAATATATATGGTGAGTTGGTTTGTCACGCCTCGACCTCTGGGAGCTCGTCCGGAGCTCAACCGAGATACCCCGGCCGAGCAATCCTGTACAATACCTTCTACCCATCTCACCCATGAATAAAGAGAATAATACATTTCATTAATTAGACAGTAAGAGGTCACGTGAACAACATTAGTTCATTTCCATTAGTTACGTCATTAATAAGTTTCCAAAACAGCACCTTGTACAATTATAGTTAAAGTGGAACAGATGACATGATTATAGTATTTTTAGTTTAACTTTTCTAAGAATAGATACAACCCACACTATGTCTACAGAGTCTCTAACAAGAACAAAAGAGTGTTATGACAATGCCGGCAACAAGGCCCAGCTATACCTCAAAACGCTATGTACAAAGGATAAGAGATACAAGACCCCGAAATAAAGTGGGGCTCACCAAGTCAGCTGAAGAGAGGGTGTGTTGCTATCACTGATCAATACCACCTGCTATGGAACCACATGCACCCATTAAAGATGCAGTGCCCCCGGCAAAAGGGACATTAGTATATATGGAATAGTACTAGTATGTAAAACTAAATACCCTCTCAATAGAACGAGTAACATTAAAAGAAGAATAAAATATAAAATCAATAAGAGACTCAAACAGTAACAATGTGTCAAGTTAGGGGAAAGGTAAATTTCAAGTAAGTTTCAGTAATTTAAGTTGGGAGATCTTTATCATCAATACACCACCGTGTTTTAGCACGAAGTCTGATCTTAGCCCGACCGGCTAAGCCATCTCACCCCGAGACATACCCTTATAATACCACCAGGTGCGCAGCACGGCGTCCGATCTCAGCCCGATCGGCTAAAACATCTCACCACAATGCCGTGTTGGTCGACATCACATCACATCTCGCTAGCAATAATCTCATCCCATTTAAGGGGAAACATAACAACACACCAATCTCATCCCATATATGGGAAAATAATCTCATCACATTAACACGGGGATTTACCCCTCAATCACTCTTACACCGACACGTGTAATTTCAGGGTTAGGTTTTTCAGACCTACCCTTCCTCGGTGGATAAACGATACTCCCAAGGTATTTATTATTAAAAGGATTTACCACTCAATTCATATTCTTTTACATGTCATTCATTTTATTGGCTCCATTGGCCATAACGCAATATCATTCTTGGCACGTTGGCCGCACATCATATTTCATGTTCTCTTCTTTCACTTTCAAATATCATCATGGATAATCAACAATAGGTCATTTCTAATTAAAACTTTAAACACATATTTGAGCAACTTAGGGTCTTAGGCACATGCGATTTCTTACCCAATTGACATGATAGCTTTCATTAAAAACATGCTTTTAAATCATAATGTATTAACGCACAACCCATGCTTAATCACCTTCTCAAGTAGTAACTCAACATAACAAGAACATTTGGAATACAATTGAACGCGTATATCTTTCGACACAAGGCTTATTCAAAATAATCAATTTATAATGAGAAACACGGGACTTACAAAGATATTGTGGGGTTCAATTCTAAGAGAAGAGTTTAACCAACATACCTTGCCTCGAGCTTTTTAAATTACTACAATATTCCGGGAATCTTAGCCACTTCGATCTATTTAGAGATATAGCAAAATTGAACATAAATTAGGAAGAAGTTCATAGTTCCAGCTCAATTGAGTTTCAAGGTCCTCCTATGGTGGATTCTTTCACCCCACTACCCAAAGTTTAACCAAAAGAGCTCAACAATATTCCAACTACCCTTGATGGTACATGTATGTAAAATAAATAACTCCCACACCCAAGAATTGCTTGGCTTATTACTTATTTTCAGTTAAAATCACAAAATTGAGGGCTATGGAGTAGAACCTTACCTCTAGGATGAAGACCTAGTGAATTCTTCTTGTAATTTCTTCAACTTTGAGCAAGAATTGATGAGTGATGAGCTTAGGAACTTTACTTCTCACTCTATGGCACTTCTTCTCTCTAGAAATATATGTTTTAACCTTCTAAAATGACCCCCAAGGCTATTTTATAAGAATGGGGTCGGGTTCAAAAATTAGAAAAAATGAAGCCCTGATGCAGATATGCGATCGCGTATGCGACCATAGAACGCTTCTGCGGTCCGCACAATGGCCCCCGGAACTGGGCACCCCTGCCTCACTCTGCGACCGGTTTGCGGTCGCATAATACGTTGCAGAAGGTTCCTCCGGAATCATTTTGCGCTGGATATGCGAGGGGCTATGTGGCTGCATAATGGATTGCATAATGATCCAAAAATTTGCCCAGCAAGCTCATCGCGAAGAATCCCTACAATTGTCAACACATAAGTCTACTTCAACACCATGAAACCCCGGGTTTAGATAAACTTTTACGGGGGCTTACATGGATACCATTCTTCACAGAGTGATAGTGAAATGATTGAGCAGCAACCCAAGGAAGTTGATTTTCAGAATCAATCAAGATGATTTTATTCCAGAAATAGAATGGACGTTTTCTTTCGTTCCTTCCTTGATTTCCTTTTCTTTGTGAGGCGTTGAAGAGAATATTTTCAGAGGATCTTCTATACTAATTGATTGATGCCTTCCACAAATGATTGATTCGATTATCTAGTTTCCATAGAATACGCGGTTACAGTATGAGTTTTGCCTCCTTGATTTTTGCTTCCAGATCTTCTGTTAGTCTTTTCCATTCTCATGACATCCTTTGGGATTGGCTTCCTGCAAGTAAAATTAAGTTATTGTCTATCATTAAAATCCAAATCTAACACATTTTATCCTCATGAGTTACGCCATTGAACTTGCACTCTATGTATTCTATTTTAGTCTTGCTCAACTAAATCATTTAGATTCCAGGGGTTGTCTCCAAATCTCCAACCTGGCGTTAATTCCACTTCGCGTCTTGTCAATCAACAAGTAAAACTAGGAGAAATATCTTGAAAATTATATACTTGCTCCCTCTCAACTAAGTTTGTAGATCTCATCATTATGTGAAGAACAAAAAATTAGTCACCAGAGGGAAGATCAAGACCTTCTATTGACAAACATGGATATTATAAGCCTACACACTATTTGGTATTTTACCATGTTGATGTCAAGACGAAGATAGTACATACGTTGTTGACATCCATTCCGCATTACTAGACTAAAGAATTACACCATTAGATGGTAATTAAAGGAAGACAACCATTAAAGGTGATGGACGTGTTCACTTTATTATACAATAAAAGGATTGTTCCTCAATTTACAAATTAAAGCATGAGATCTAATTTATTTCTTACTCGGAGTTACACATTAGAATTTATTTTCTCTGTTCTCTTTTACTAGTCCTTTATTTACTTGGCATGCTTATAATTAAATAATTATTTATTAAGTGTTTGTTTTATAAACTGATAAATTCAGCTCAATTTATCAGAAATAGTACGTATGCAAGCAAAACAGTATTGAAAGGAGAAGGAGAGAATAAGTGGAGATATGCAGAAATGAGATGAAGAAGATGAGCTGGTTTTCTTTCTTATGTCTTCATTACACGTGAGTGGTCCCTTTTTATAAACCATTTAACCTACTCCAACGAACTCCTTATTCCTATTTAGACTTTAGTCCCTCAACTAGTTACAAGTACATCTCAATCTAGTATATACAACAATACTCCCCTTCAAGCTGGGGGTGAAACACATTGAGCACACCAAGATTGGACAAGAGGAAATGGTGCTGGGATGAACCCAAGCCTTTGGTCATGAGGTCATCCAACTGCAAACTGGTAGAAATATATTGTGGTGCCAATTGTCCATTCTTGATCTTCTCGCGAACAAAATGGCAATCAATATTGATGTGTTTAGTGCGTTCATGGAATATAGGATTAGCGGCTATTTGCAGAGATGCCTTACTATCACAGTGTAAAGATACTGGCTGCTGAACGTGGACCTGCATTTCCTTAAGAAATCCTAAGAACCATGTGATTTCTGCAATTGTTGTTGCTAGACTCCTGTACTAAGCTTCAGCTGAGCTTCGACTGACAGTTTGTTACTTTTTGACTTCTATGAAAGCAAAGAATCTCCTAACTTGATGGCATACCCTGGTACAGACCTCCTAGTATTAGGACAAGAGGCTCAGTCTGAATCACAATAAGTAGACAATGTATCTATAGGCCCTGTGCTCAGCAAAATACCAAGACCTGGTACTGACTTTACATATGTCACCACTCGCAATGCTGCATCCCAATGAGATTGTTTGGGATGCTGCATGAACTGACTGAGTACATGGACTACAAAACTAAGATCTGGTCTGGTGATGGTTAAGTAGAGCAGTTTGCCAATGAGTCTTTGATAGCTCCTTATGTCTTCTAATTCTTCATCCACATTCACCCCTACATGTTTGTCATATTCAATAGTGTTTAACTTATGGTTAAGCTCTATTGGGATGGAGATTGATTTAGCTCCTGCAAGCCCAACTTCTGATATCAAATGAAGGGCATACTTCTTCTGTGTGAGCAGGATCCCTTTCTTTGATCTTAGAACCTTAATACTAAGGAAATATCTCAGCTCCCCTATATCCTTAACTTTAAAGGAATTGTGTAGTGTATGTTTGGCTTCATCTATCAATTCTGCATTGCTCTTAGTAATGAGCAAGTCATACACATACACTAAGACAACAACAATGTCAGAGTTTGTATTCTTAGTGAAGAGTGAATGATCATAAGCACTCTGATGATACCCTATTTCCACCAACGCCTCAGTCAATTTGATGGTCCATTGCCTTGAGGCTTGCTTAAGACCATGTAGTGATTTAAGTACTTTGCAGACCTTATACTCCCCTTGTTTCTAGAAACCTTGAGGAAGATCCATATAAACATCTTCATAAAGATCCCCCTGCAAAAAAGCATTATTGACATCCATTTGAAACAGATTCCATCCTCTAGAGGTTGTTATGCTTATGATTGTTCTCACAGTAACCATCTTAGCTACAGGAGAGAAGGTCTCATGATAGTCCAACCCTTCTTGATATGTATAACCCTTTGCTACCAACCTAGCCTTGTATCTCTCTATTTCCCATTTGCCTTATATTTTATCTTAAATACCCATTTGGATCCTATGGCCCTTTTTCCTGCAGGTAGGTCAACAATTTCCCATGTTGCATTGTATTCAAAAGATTTAATATCTTATGACATTGCTTCTACCCAGTTTTTGTCTTGACAAGCTTCCTTGAAGCTCTTTGGTTCAACTGTTGTGAGAACATACCCAAATAGGCCTTGTAATTTGCTGACAGATGAGAGTAGGACACAGTGTTTGAGATACAATGAGGATGATTCTGAGTGCTAGAGGGTGTAATATAGTCCTTCAACCATATGGAAGGTTTTGAAATCCTACTAGATTTCCTGACACTAGTTTCATCTATAGGTATGTGTTCCATATATGACTGACTTGTGACTGGATCTATGACTGGTTGCACTCTAACTGATTCTACAGACTGGGGCATAGTAGAAGTATCAGCTGACTCCATTGTGGTATCAACTGGTTCCATTGTCTGAGTGTCTACTGCAGCTGTAGGTTCCATGACTGGTGCAGGTGAGAAATGATCATGGGCAGGCTCAATTGGAGTGGTGGAAATGTCTGACTCTTTAGTGGTTGCATGCTCCTCATAGAGAAGCCTGCACCAACTGTTCAGGCGTAAGTTCATTTGTCATAACAGGAGGTTCATCACATGGAAATAGGTCTTCAGTGATCTGAGTTCCTTCCTTGAAAGGAAACACTTGTTCCCTGAATGACACATCTCTACTAATAAACACTCTTCTGCTATCCAAATCATACAACCTGTACCCCTTTTGGGTTTCTGAGTATCCTATAAGGATTGACTAAAACATTGATTCATGCCTTTATGACTTAGTCTCTACTTGAGAAAGCCCCAATTAAAGGTATAAACCTAGAGATAGTAATACCCAACGTGAGCTAATATCACTTTATTTGCATGGATACCCATTTGGACTTGAAAAGGCCAAATTGGGCAAAATCACTCAAACTACCGAGAGGTATAGAGTGAGTACCCGGGTGTGATAGCTATATTACAATCCCAACTAATCAAGCTTGCCCTAGATTTTTCTACCCGTTAAATATCCACCTAGGTAGAAGTCACTACCCTAGTATCTTTAAACATTTGAAAAACAACAACAAAAATATTGTCCTTAGTTTTAATTATTGCAATCTTTATAGTAAAGTTAGAAGTATAAAACCCAATAAAGTTTGTGGAAGTGCAATTAAAGCCAAAACTTGCTATTAACTTAGGTATACACCTAATCCCATATTCTAACTCCCTGTGGATTCGATCCAGACCTTTGTTGGGTTTATCATTGCATCGACCACCTCGCTACTCAATTGTGGTGTGGGTTTAGCATAGATTAATTTTTGGCTCCGTTGCCGGGGACTTAAATGGATTTAGCTATATATCTAGGTAGTTGTATGTTTTGTCTTTCTTTTCTTCTGAGTCACTAATTTTGTTTGTGAATTGCTTTTAGGTACAAAACGGCCATTAACAATGAGCCACTCAAAAATTTACCATTGGGGGAGGAGGTAGATGGCGATCAAGTGGATGAGGTTCATCCCAAGCCTCAAGTAAATAGGCGAGGCCGACCGCCTCCACAAAGAGCAGCGCACCAGGAGTTGCCGAATGAGGGCTATGCAAGTGTAATAGTCCCGCCCCGGATTAGAGCGGGAAACTTCCAAATTACCAACGTGATGCTTACACTGCTTGAGCAGCAGGGTTTCTTCATCGGAGCTCCACACCAAAATGCCTACAAGCACCTCAAAGGGTTCGTTGATACTTGTTGGGGGAGCAAGCAAACAAATGTCACCGAGGATGCACTACGATTAAGGCTATTTCCTTTTTCTCTACGGAGAAAGGCTTTGGACTGGTTAGAGAGACTGCCCAATCATTCCATCCACACTTGGGATGAGTTAGCCGAGAAGTTCATTGCCAAATTTTGCTCTCCGGGGCACATGGCTACACTAAGGGATGAAATTTTAGCTTTCAAACAAGAGCCCAATGAGCCATTGCGCGAGATTTGGTAAAGATATCGCACCATGGTCAAGGAATTCCCGAACAATGATATGACTAAGGCCATGATCCAACAAACCTTCTACAAGGGGATCAAAACAACAAATCAGTGTATGGTAAATCAACTCGCTGGGGGTAACTTCATGAACATACCTTATTCTGAAGCTTGTGAAATCTTGGATGAGATAGCGGACACCTCTTCGGCGTGGAAAAGTAGAGCCAATGTTCCTCAGGGTGACCCAAATGTTATTCACCTACACAAGGAGCTACATGATCATGGGCAAGCTATTGCAGAGTTGACAACTACCATGAACCAATTGGCCAAGGCTCAGCTTCAACAGGTTCAACGGTCGAGATAGGTGAATGCTATGGAAGGGGTGAACATGATGGTAAACAAGAGACGGCAACGAGGTCAACAAGTACAAAACCATCCAGAACAATTTGAGCAAAGTAATAGTGGGTATAATCAAGATGATTCATATGATGAGGAAGATGAAGAGGTTCAATAAGTCAACAATTATCAAGGTCAAAGAAGAAATGCTCCAAATCAACAACAAGGGAGATCACAAGGAAACCAGGGAAACTGGAACAACCTAGGTTACCAAGGAAATTGGAGTGGTGGCAACAACAATAATCAAAGCAATGGGGTAATCAAGGTAATCAAGGCAATTGGGGTGGAAAAAATCAAAGCAATTGGGGGAACAACAATAATCAAGGGGGTTGGAACAATAGCAATCAAGGAAATCGGGGGCCGGGCTTTCAGACACCCCCGATGTATCAACAACCAAACAACCTGCCTCCATATCCGTCGCAAGGTCCTAGTTCTTCCAATAGTGAAATGGGATGGATTGAAAATATGTTCAAGCAAATGATAGAGAAAAATGCCAACTCTGATGCCCAATTAGCCTCCCACAACACTTCTATCCGCAACTTGGAGATTCAACTTGGCCAAATTTCTCAAGCTTTAAATACTCGCCCAAAGGTGGCACTACCTAGTGATACGGTGGTGAACCCGAAAGGTGGAAATACAGGGCATGCAATGGCCGTGACAACAAGAAGTGGGAGAGGTGGAGTTGCTAGTACCTCAAACCAAAGAAGACATATGGGTGATGATGTGTTGGCGCAAGATGATGATGATCCAACCAATGATGTTCAAGCTAATGAAGAAGCGAGGATTAATATTGATGAAAATGTGGAGGAGACGCAAGAAGAAGTGAACCCATCTAGGGAGTACGTGACTGACATGCCGGAACCGGTAGTGCCAAAGGCTAAGGTACCAATGCCAAGGCCTCCTCCTCCATACCCTCAAAGACTTTCAAAGAAAAATAATGAGAATCAATTCAAGAAATTCATTGATATGATGAAACGTTTATCCATAAATGTGCCATTGGTTGAAGCCTTAGAACAAATGTCGGGATATGCCAAGTTCATGAAGGATTTGGTAACAAAGAAGAGATCAATGAACTATGAAATGATCAAAATGACACATCAAGTGAGTGCTATAGTACACTCCATGGCTCCAAAGTTGGAATACCCCAGTGCTTTCACAATCCCGTGCACTATTGGGAGTGCCGATTTCGCCAAAGTTTTATGTGATTTAGGGGCAAGCATTAACTTGATGCCCTATTCTATGTTCAAAACGTTGGGGATTGGTCAACCAATACCCACATCCATGAGGCTGCAAATGGCGGATCGGACAATGAAAAGGCCATTGGGGATAATTGATGATGTGTTAGTTAGGGTCGACAAGTTCATCCTTCCCGCAGATTTTGTGATACTTAACTGTGAGGTTGACTACGAGGTGCCAATCATTATGGGGAAACCTTTCCTTGCTGCAGGGAAGGCTTTAGTTGATGTGGAATCTGGAGAGCTCACCTTCCAGGTGGGAGATGAAAAAGTAGTGTTCCATGTTTGTAAATCAATGAGGCGGCCAAATAGCAACGAAGTGTGTTCGTTTGTGGATCTTGTGACCGGAGTAATTGTTTATGACACAAGTGATGTGATAAATGTGGAAGATAACTTGGAAATTGTGTTGTTGAATCATGATGAGGATGAGAAGGAAGGCTTTGTAGAATGTGTCAATGCTTTGCAAGGAATGGAATCATATACTCATAAGCCCCGAAACCTTTCCTTGGATCTCGAAAACCGGAAGACCTCAGGTATGAGTTTCTAGGCCCTTGTTCCACTTTACCTGTTAGTCTTTCCTCGTGCTTAACTAACGTGCAGGTAGATGCCACCCTTGCGGTGCTTCAAAGGAGGAAGAAAGCAATAGGTTGGACATTGGCAGATATTCGGGGTATAAGTCTCGTCTTTTGCATGCACAAAAGCATTTTGGAGGAGGATGCCAAACCCTCCGTGGAACATCAAAGACGATTGAATGAGGCCATACAAGAGGTAGTAAGGAAAGAGATCATCAAGTGGTTGGATGCCGGGGTGGTTTACCCCATTTCCGATAGTTCGTGGACCTCGCCGACGCAATGTGTCCCAAAGATAGGAGGCATGACTGTGATCACAAATGACAAAAATGAATTTATCCCCACAAGAACTGTCAGCGGGTGGAGAGTGTGCATGGATTATAGAAAGCTCAACAAAGTTACGTGGAAAGACCATTTCCCGCTTCCATTTCTTGATCAAATGTTTGATAGGTTAGCCGGACGTGGTTATTATTGCTTCTTGGATGGATATTCCGTATATAACAAGATTCTTATTACACCTGAAGACCAAGAGAAGACCACCTTCACTTGTCTGTATGGCACTTTCGCATTCTCAAGGATGCCATTCGGGTTATGTAATGCACCAGCAACCATTCAGCGGTGTATGATGTCCATCTTCATCGTTATGGTAGAGGACTTTCTCGAGGTTTTCATGGATTATTTATCTGTCGTGGGGGATTCTTATGAAGAGTGTT